TAAGTGACTGCTAGCACATAGTAAGCACTCAACAAATAGCTACTGTGATTATTACATTATATAATAACCACATTATTACATTATTAGTATAGAAAAATATATAAAATTATTAATTTTGATAAATGCTATAGCTTACAAAAGGCTTTGAAAAAAATTCCCAAAAAGAGGTTTTAAAAACATTTCAAACAAAAGCAGCATCCCCAAAACAAGTACCCAGCTTCCCAAAAGGACTACTCCACAGAACAGTACTCAGGTTTAAATCATGGGACATTTGGGAGTAAAACTATCACTCTCACCACTTTATAGCAGTTTCCTAAAATGTGTTTTATGGAGTTAACAAGATATTACTGAGTACTGGATTAACCTAGAATTCCATGATTAAATACATTCAGGCAGTTACTCTGGCTGTTTTACAGCCAGATTTCTCAGCTCCTTTAACATGTTGACGTGCTCTGTGCCTCCTTCCATGAGGGTGATTGATACAGTCAGTTCTCAATCTGCTTTGGCCCCCAAATCCTTTTTTCATAGAATATCTCTCAACACGAGTTCTTGTGGAAAATGCTCCTTAAAAGGTATGCTTTAGAGTTCAGCAGGCCAAGTAAAATTCTGTCTTCTCTTTTAAGCACATATTGAAGCTGCAAAGTTCAGCAGAAGCCCTGAGGGTTAGAGACAAGATAGCCACTTTGGCCTTGATTATGGATTTGCAAATTTTGCCTTGTATTTTCACAGAAAAAGGTTTTTTCCTGTGTGTGTTTCCACTTTCCACACACAGGGTTGGCATCCCTTCTAGCAATCCTGTATGAAACCAGACTGTGCAGAAAACACCAAGAGCCTCGTTATGCACAACCCCATCCCAGAGCTTTATGAAGGGCGATATGGGCAGAATTAAACCATATTCATAGCCTCTTCATTTAAAAATCAGGCTTTTGCTCTATGGGATATAGAATTATATAATATTTCACAATAATTCAATTCATTCATGTCAACTTTGTTAGTTCCTAGAGGTGTACCTAAGGCTGACTTACTCACTTATTCAATAAATAAGTCATCCTATTGACTATTTCATTGCCTCCTTAAAATCTGCTATGTCCAACTTAGCATGAAGGTCACACCAGCTACTCAATGGTTAACAATGGTGTAAATCTACACAAGCTATTTAACAATGGTGGTGCCAATTATGAAATTTCTTCTGTAAAATGGCAAATTGAAAGCTAAAGATATATTTCCATGACTTGAATTAGATTTTGTTGGAGATGTTATTAAAATAAAATAACAGAACCAGCAAAAACTGAGTGATTAGGAAGTCTGGGCTTGAATCCCAGTTCTCCCGCTTAACAGCACCCTGACCTCAGGCTTCCTGCATAACCATTTTTCTCACTTGTAAAAGAAGGATGACGATAACGCTGCCTGTATCACGTTTTGAGACTCAAATGAAATAATACCTATGGAAGAACTTTTTTAACGGTAAGGTACTATAAAACATTCAGAATCATGAGCTTCTATTATCATTTATATTTCTTTTTTTTTTTT